TCTTTCCCTTCTTCTGCACTTCCTCCCTCCTCCTTGCACCCCCTCCAGATCTCCTGTTCTCCAGCTTCTCTGTCTACACTGGCTTTTCTAACTTGATCCCGATCTAGAAAATGGCCTCAGGACCAGCAGATGGCATAACGGTAATGTCACTGGACTCCCATGTAATTGACCACAGTTTGAGTCCCAGACCCAGCAGATTAAAACGCATACTGGGCACGTGTGCGTACTTGCCCAAAATCCAGAAAAGAGAATGGGAGAGGGGACTGCAGTGTGGACATCCCCCCGAGGCATGACATCTTGCTTTCTGTCTCCCTGTCTCTCTCTGTCTCTCCATAAGTGCACACACCTTACAGCAAAAATCTCTCTTAAAAAAAAGAAAAGAAAGAAAACGGTCTCATGAACAGTCTGGATTCAGTAGGATATAACCGAAAAGGTTTTGTTTCATCCCATAACTGCTGGCAGCTTTTTTCTCTTCCTAGTGATGGAGAGGCCATGTTTTCTCTTCACCTAAAGTCTCAACCAGTAAAAGTCTGTCTTCTCTCCTCCCTTCCCCAGCTCAGCTCAGGTTGGGGCAGGGAGCTTCTCCGTGGGAAGATTTCTAAGGGGGACTCACATGGCTTTGCACCTCTCGAGGTGGGAGGCAGGCTATCCCACCCCACAGCCCTCCTCACCAGTGCACTGCCAACAGGTGTCCACTGCGGTCACTTCTGCTCTCCACGGGGGAATGAACATCTTGGAATGTCCCTTCCCTGACTTGGGGGTAGACTGGGGAGAGGGAAAGGAAGTACCACTGCACCCACGAAGGAGGGGGGAAGACAAAGACTCCGGGACTCTCCATCCTGCCAGCCCTCAGTCTCCCTGCATGTCTAGTTCTGGGGAGCAGGGATACGCCTCTTCTAGGGTGATGATGGGGGTAGTTGAGGGAAGTGACCAGCCCCACTGAAGGTGGCTCTTTTTAGACAATAGGGCACTTAGTTCGCAATCCTGGTTGCCAACAACTAGAACATTCCTATTCAACATCCTGTTATGTTAATACCTAACAAGAGATACCGGGGTACAGAGGCTTTCCAAATATGAGTGGAATGGGCTCTTCATTGAAAGCAGCCAAATTATTATTATTTTAGATTTTGACCATAGGGTGTGTGTACTCACCAGAGAGACAGAGAGAGGGAAAGTGAGAAGTCACCTTCCAGGGAGATGGCCACACCACAATCCTTCTCCTTCATTCTCCTCTCAGGACTTTGGGCATGCCCACAGTGCACTTGGTGTGTTTTCTAAGCCACCAGGTCCAGGACTTGAACCACGTACTTGGCCATGGGGGACCCAGCTGCCTTTACCACCACGTCACATGGCTGGTCCCAGCTCTTACTTTTAAAAATGCTTTCCATGGGAAAAAAAATCAGCCTCCTTTTCCTCATCATTAATGCAACAAAATAAATAATGGATCTAGAACCCACTGTAATACTTTGGGTGTGGTTCCAAGATCAATGAATGTTTGGAAGTAACTCCACTTGCTACAAGCACATTTCCTGAAAGAACTGGAAGATAATGAGTACCCTAGGTGCCCTGGCCCACCCACATTATGATGCCCAAACCCACGCAGATTCCAATACACAGGGAAAGAATGTATTATTAACTGAATAATGTCAGTTTTTATGTCTAGCCTATTTTGTCAAATTTATTTTTAATTATTTAAATAAATTCCACTCATTTAATTAGAAGTGTAATTTTATGTGTTACAAAGTAGCTTGATGCTTTTTTTTTAAAATCAGTGCATATTATAAATGCATGCTACTTCATAGGATTTAGGGCATAATTTAACATTTTAATTATTTATAGGAATTTATGATTACTGTAATTTTGCTTTTATAACACAAAGGCAAAAGTACTTGATAGAAAACCCAGACACCAATTATCATTCCTGTAAGAAAATATGAGCTCTTTTGTTATTATCTGCTTCAGGCCACATAGGAATAAAATGTATATTCTATAGATATAAGAATTTGTCCTTTGCTTAAAAATCTGACTTCTTAAAAGGAGCAGAGATTTCATGTGTACATGTGGGATTTTAACATACTTGACAAAGCCAGTCACGCCTTACACTTTTGAGAGTCTGGGTGTGTGTGTTGTCTTCCAATTCAGAGCAGCACGGAGAGACCACAAAAGCCTCACAGAAACATGACCACACTCATTTGTATCCGCTTAGTTGGGTACTCAGGCCAGCCCTGTGGCTTAGTGGTTAAGGGAGCTAGGTCCTACATGGCTGACCACATGGTTCAAATCCCAGCCCAGCACTTGAAAAATGCAATGCCTGTGCATACATGCCCCAAATCCCAACAGGGTGGAGAAATGGGAGAGAAGGCAGTGGAGCATAACCACACCTTATCGAGGGGTGCTTTCTCCCTTACCTCTCCTTGGTGAGCAGGCGTGCCTTCTGGGCAAATTAAAAAGAGAAAAAGAGAGAGATGGATGGAGGGAGGGAAAGAAGGAAGGAAGGAAGGAAGGAAGGAAGGAAGGAAGGAAGGAAGGATCTTTTGTTATTATCTGCTTCAGGCCACATAGGAATAAAATGTATATTCTATAGATATAAGAATTTGTCCTTTGCTTAAAAATCTGACTTCTTAAAAGGAGCAGAGATTTCATGTGTACATGTGGGATTTTAACATACTTGACAAAGCCAGTCACGCCTTACACTTTTGAGAGTCTGGGTGTGTGTGTTGTCTTCCAATTCAGAGCAGCACGGAGAGACCACAAAAGCCTCACAGAAACATGACCACACTCATTTGTATCCGCTTAGTTGGGTACTCAGGCCAGCCCTGTGGCTTAGTGGTTAAGGGAGCTAGGTCCTACATGGCTGACCACATGGTTCAAATCCCAGCCCAGCACTTGAAAAATGCAATGCCTGTGCATACATGCCCCAAATCCCAACAGGGTGGAGAAATGGGAGAGAAGGCAGTGGAGCATAACCACACCTTATCGAGGGGTGCTTTCTCCCTTACCTCTCCTTGGTGAGCAGGCGTGCCTTCTGGGCAAATTAAAAAGAGAAAAAGAGAGAGATGGATGGAGGGAGGGAAAGAAGGAAGGAAGGAAGGAAGGAAGGAAGGAAGGAAGGAAGGAAGGAAGGAAGGAAGAAGACAGTTGGGTGCTCAGTGAGACTTGTTAGTTAAAGGAGGAACTTGAGCCCACTGCTCTTGGGATCCCTGACCCACAGTCCATGACTCTGTGATGAGTATCCCCTCTGATCTAAGCCCCATTCAGATGATCTGGAGGACCCCCAGGGACAGCATGCAGCCCCAAAGTATCCATTCTTCTCCAGTGGGCTCTGCAGGTACAGAGGGTGTGGGGAACTCCCAGGGCTCTGGAGCACACCCACTCTGTAGAAGTCTCTGCAGAGCCTCTGAGAGGGCCCGAAGCATCAGCCAATGGTCCAGGAGGAGACAAGTTGTCCCACTGTGGGTTTGGCCAAAGGCATTGGTCGTTTCACAAGAGCTGGGTTCCTGATGAGCCCACCAGGCTACCTGAGGAGACACCCCCCACCTTGTGTACCCTGAATGGGTATCTCCTGAGAGCCTCAAAACTCCTCCTCCCCAGGTTGAGCAATTCCTCTGCTCCCAAGTCCACCTCTGAAGGGGGCATCTGCAATGGCCCACGTGTACTCACGAGGCTTGGTGTCTCCTACAGAGTAAAACTAGACCCTTCACCTGACCCCACAGACCCTGTTGAGTGCTCCTGCCATTGTCTCCCTTTCTCATAGGACCTCCCTGCTCCAGCCAGGCCCCTGTTCCTTCCATTCCCTTCTGGGGCATAAAAGCCCCCACAGAGGCCGGCAGGTGGCATAGTGGTTGAGGCACTGGATGCCATGGTCGACCACAGTTTGAATCCTGGACCTGGTGGTTTGCTTTCTCACTCTTTCTATCTCTCCAGTCAAATTGAAGAATAATAAGATAATTACTGGGCGTTGTGGCGCTTGCCCTATGGAATAATAAAATAATTATTTAAAAATAAATAAAATAAGGGGACCAGCAGTTAGCATAATGGCTATGTCGCTGGACTCCCATGTAGTCGACCGCGGTTCAAGTCCCGGACCTGGTGGCTTAAACTCATGCCAGGCCCATGTGTGTGCGTGCCCAAGATCCTGAGAGGAGAATGGAGGAGAAGGGATTGTGGTGTGGCCATCCCCCCTGGGGGGTGATTTCTCACTTTCTATCTCTCTGTCTCTCTGTCTTTCTGGCAAGAGCACATGCCCTATAGCAAAAAAATAAAAAACTCTCAAAAAAATAATAATATCAATTAATTAATTAATTAAACTTAATTTAAAAAGCCCCCACATCCAAGGAAGGCTATGGGTCCAAGTTGTTTAGGAAAGCCTAGCAGTGACTTTGTGAGTATTTTATTGGGCACACGCTTGTTGCCAGCAGGGACTGACAGGAGTTGGGAGTGGGGGGGGCTAAAAAGAGGGCATGGCATGAGTCCATAATAGTAAAACCATCTCCGCCATCGCACTTGCGCTAGACTTTTAAGTTCGATTTTCTCTGCCCACTACCTTACCTCTTTAAAACTGCCATTCCAACTCAACTGTGGTGATGCACAGGTACCACTACTGCTTGGGAGCCTGGAAGCCACATTAGAGTCCCAGGTTCAGTTTCCAGGCCAACCTGAATATCGTAGGCACAGCTACACACACCTGTAGTCCTAGCTGATTGGGTGGCTGGGCAGGAGGATCACAACACAGTGAGACCCTATCAAATCTACCTATCTCTGTCTCTATGCAATCCCAAAGGCTCTCACTGGCGTCACCATGACCCTGACGGTCTGTGCCACACAGTGCATGTTCCCATGCTGTAGATGAGTAAGCTGAGGTTCCCATAGATGAGATCATTCACTAGAGGTCACACAGCTACCCAGTTGCAGAGCCGAGGCTGGAACTGGCTTTGCCTGATTCCCTGTACCTCTCCCCACCCTCTGGGTTCTGGTTCCCCTCCCCTTACAGGTCACTTCCTTCTCTCTACCCAGTGACACTCTGAACATCGTGGCATCTGATCACCGGCCGTTCACCACGAAGCAGAAAGCCATGGGCAAAGAGGATTTCACCAAGATCCCACATGGAGTGAGCGGCGTGCAGGACCGCATGAGCGTCATCTGGGAGAGAGGCGTGGTGGGTTTCTGGAGCCCCTCCCCACTCCAACCCAGTAAGAGTTGCACTCCACGGGATCAAAGAACATTCTTGGAGGGCCTGGTCAACCACAGCTCCTTGTTCCACTGTAAAACAAAGCAAAACAAAAAGATCTCCATGCCCTGATTAGAAAGATAAGACCTGGGCCAGCAGGTAGCATTGTTATTAAGACCCCTGGGTCCCACACGGTCACCAACACAGTTGGAGTCCCAAACCCTGCAACTTGAAAAACATGCTGGGCGTGTGTGTGTGTGTGTGTGTGTGTGTGTGTGTGCGCGCGCGCCCAAAATCCTGAGAGGAAAAGGGATTGTGGAGTGGCCATCCCCACTGGGGGATGCTTTCTCGCTTTCTCTCACACACTCTCTATCTCTGTCTGTCTCTGGTGAGCACATGCACTCTATAGCAAAAATTTAAAAGTGAAAAAGAGAGGTGCTAAGACCTAAGATAGAAATTTAGAAAATACAGGGAACCAGCAGTTAACGTAATGGCTATGTCGCTAGACTCCCATGTAGTCGCCCACGGTTCGCATCCCAGACCCGTTGGCTTAAAACTCATGCCGGGCGCGTGTGCGTGTGTGCCCAAGATCCTGAGAGGAGAATGGAGGAGAAGGGATTGCGGCGTGACCATCCCCCCTGGGGGGTGATTTCTCGCTTTCTGTCTCTATGTCTCTCTCTGTCTGGCGAGCGCACGTGCCCTATAGCAAAAACCTCTCCAAAAAAAGGAATTTAGAAAATACAGATACACATGAGAAAAAAAATCTTCATAATTTCATGCCTAGATGTTAAATATTAGCATTTTGATTTTCTTTTCTTCTTCTATGCTTGTACCACACATTTTTAAATATATATATTTATTTAATTTTATTAATATTATTTATTTATTTTTAATTTGCTATAGGGCATGTGCGCTTATCAGAGAGAGACAGAGAAAGAGAGAGAGGGAAAGTGAGAAAGCAAGCTGCCAGGTCCGGGACTCAAATCATGGTCGGCCATGTGGGAGTCCAGAGCCTTAACTACCAGGCTCCCAGCTGGCCTCCATCATACATTATTAACTGGGTTTACCTTTTTTTTCTTCATATAATAGTATATCTTGAGTATTTCCCTATATTCATAAAGAAGAAAAATCTTCAAAAACGTCTTCTTTTTCGTAGCTGGATAATATTTCCCCCACTAGAATGACCACACTTTAATCCTTCCCTCTGTTTGGAACTTTTGGCTGTTTCAGTTTTGTTCTCACAAATGCCATAGAGTACCTCTTCTTACATAAGCATTTTTAATTATTTCCTCACGACAGATTCCCAGAAGCAGATCTCTGGGCCAAGGAATATGGACATTTCTAAGGCTCTTGATACATGCTGCCTGGTTGCTTTTCAAAAATCGATAGAGACTGGGATTTCATTTGAATACCATCTGTTCTGCCCATGATATATATATATATGATATATATATATATGTGTGTGTGTGTGTGTGTGTGTGTGTGTATATCTAGTTTTGTTTTGTTTTGTTTTTTAGATTTTTGCCATAGGACTTGTGTACTCCCTGGGGAGAGACAGAGAGAGGGAAAGTGAGAAATCACCCTCCCAGGGAGATGGCCACGCTTCCATCCTTTCCCATCCATGCTCAGAATTTTGGGCACACATGCACACACACCTGGCATGGTTTTCAAGACACTGGGTCTAGGACTCAAACCATGGTCAGCCACGTGAGAGTCCAGCACCTTAACCACCACACCCCATGCTGGCCCTAGGATTTTTGGTCTTGGTCTATCACAGATGAGATTCAGCCAAGAGTATGAGACTCATCAAAGAGATTTGAAATCCTCAAGATTAAGCCACCAGTTTAGGGAGGGCCCAGAAAATGGTTTGGGAAATCTTCGGAGAGAATCCATGGTGCGTTTGTGGGCAGGTGGGTCAGGAGGGCAATAGGATACTTCCCCCCCTTAGTAGCTGAAGGGAGGCTCCTGCCTCTTCCACGGTGGGCACCTGAGCAGAGCTGGCGTTACAAAGTGGGGCTCAACTTGCACCGGCAGGCAGGCTTTTAGAAGAGAGGACATGAACACACGGGACCAGGCATCGGAGGTGGTCGCCCACGGCATTGCCCTCCTTAGACCATTATTCTGACCCACGGGCCAGGGTCAAAGGTGACGAGGGGTTTGAGGCACACACGTGGAGGCTGGTTGATTTGACACTCGGCAATGTTTCAGGTTGGAGGGAAGATGGATGAGAACCGTTTCGTGGCAGTGACCAGTTCCAATGCAGCGAAGATTCTCAACCTGTACCCCCGCAAGGGTCGCATCATCCCTGGAGCCGATGCCGATGTGGTGGTGTGGGACCCAGAAGCCACAAAGTAACATTTGCTGCTAGTTTCCAGGGCTCCAGGGGCTTGGGGTTTAAAGAACTCGCGTTACAGAACTCCCCAAAGCAAACCACCTGTGCACTACTCCTAGCACAGAGGAGTATGGCGGCCCTGGCTTGCAGACAGTTGCCCTCTCTGGGTGATGGCACGGTCTCTCCTCTGTGTGCCCATGCCTGGTGCCCAGTCTTCTCCTCTCAGGACACCCAGCAGGTGTGATTACGGCCATTCATGACCTCATTTTAACTAATTACCTCTGTAATGGCCCTGTCTCCAGATACGGTCACACTGGGGGATAGGACCAAGATATGTGAATTGTGAGGGGACAGAATTCAGCCCCTAACAACCAGCTTTGGGGGATCACCCCTTTCCATTGAGCATTACCTGTCCCTACTGAGCATCCTCCCTTCTTACTGCCCATCATCCCTTCCCGTCAAGCTGTAACGTCTGTGCTTATCAAAGCTTTCTTCCGCCAGGACTATCTCAGCCAGCACCCAGGTTCAGGGAGGCGACTTCAACCTCTACGAGAATATGCGCTGCCACGGCGTGCCGCTGGTCACCATCAGCCGGGGCCGTGTTGTGTACGAGAACGGCGTCTTCATGTGTGCCGAGGGCACTGGCAAGTTCTGTCCCCTGAGGTCCTTCCCAGACACTGTCTACAAGAAGCTGGTCCAGAGAGAGAAGGTACCCATGGAAGGGGGGAAGCTGTGTGTGGGAGGATCAATGACCCTTCCCTCCGGATCCTCCTGCCATCTCTCCAGTGTTGATGGGAAGTGTGTGGTGGGGCAGGGGAAAGCTAGTGTCAGAAACCAGCTCTCCACCTGAGGTCCCAGCGCTTTCAGAGTCCCTAAGACCACTTCTCTTCCGGAGGCTAGCAGCAAAGGAACCTAAAGCCAGGCCTGCTGTGGGAGAGCATGTTTGGGCAGCCTGCAAAAGCATGCCCAGTTATCTCAGTGTGAAACCCATGCACACACTCAGGATCTCCCAGATAAGCCACATCTCCAAAATGCCACCCTGTTGTGGGTGACGGGCAGGAAGCTTCAGCCCCACTCCTGGGGGATGTGCAGAAAGAGCTGTAAGAGGGGGGTCAGCAGGCGGCGTGGTAGTTAAAGGTGCTCGATTCCCACATGGCCAGCCATGGTTTGCATCCCGAACCTGGCGACTTGCTTTCTCCCTTTCCCTTTCTCTCTCTCTCTCTGGTCAAATTAAAACAATAATGATAATAATAATAATAATAAATGCAATTAAATAAATAAATAATTCTTTTAAAAAAATAAAAGAACTCTAAGAGTGACATATTCACATGCAAAAAGAACTGACAAAGAGTGATGATGACCAAAACCCACGAAAAATAACAAGTGTCTGAAGATGGGAAGAAACTGGAACCCTCGTTTGCAGCTAGACAGAATGTCAACTGGTGCAGCCGCTGTGGAAAACAGTTTGGCAGTTCCCTAAACGTGTCGACCATAGCATTACCATGAGACCCAGTAACTCCACACTCGGGTACATACCCAGGAAAAATGAAAACCCGGTCTACACAAAACGTGTACTCAGTAGTACATAGCAGAGTATTCACAAAGACCAAAACACAGACCTGGTCCAGGTGTTCATCATCAGCTGTTAGCTGTGGAATATTATTCAGCCATAAAAAAGAGTGACGTTCTGATAAATGCCCCATGCCACGTGGACGGACCCCAAAGCCATGATGCTATGTGAAAGAAGCCAGACACGAGAGACCACAGAGTGTAAGATTCCACTTACGTGAGACATCCAGAAAATAGATTGGTGGTTGCCGAGGGCTGGGGGAGGGGCATAGGGGAGTGCCTGCTAATGGCTATGGGGCTTCTTCCTGGGATGGTGACAGTGTTCTGTAATGAGACAGTGGTCACAGTGGTACAGCCCTGAGAATATACCAAAGCCACTCCCTCGTCTACTCTAACATGGTGAATTTTATAGTCTGTGAATTATATCTCAATTTGGAAAAAAAAAAAAAATCTGCTAACAGGATATACCTGTCCCTAAAATGATTTTTAAGAAGTAGCAGCATAAAAAGACAGAGAAAATATTTCAGGCTTCTAAAAGCCCACCATGCAAAACGCAAGATAAATCTGTCAGCGGTGCTCTGTCTCTCTTACTCATAGGGTAAATTAATTAATTAATTTAAAATACTTAAAAGAGAGGGAAAAGAGGAGACCAGCAGGTAACAGGGTGCTTGAAGCACTGGATTCCCACATGGCCAACCACGATTCAAATCCCAGACCTGGCAGCTTGAAAAAATCACACTGGGTGCATGTGTGTACATGCCCAAAATCCTGAGAGGAAAACAGAGAAGGGACGGAGGCATGGCTATCCCCCCATGGGGTGATTTCTCAGTCTCCCTTGCTCACTCTGTCTGTGTCTATCTCTCTGGCAAGCATATGTGTCAGAGCAAATAATCTAAAAAAAAAAAAAAGTAAAAGAGACTAGGGAGGAATATGTAGACGGAATAGCCTTCCAGAAACCACTCGTGTCTGTTGTCTGTCGCAACAGAGAGACTGAGGTTATGTCTGGGAGGGCTGCGCAGTTGCAGACGGTCTGTGCTGCTCCTTCAGACAGGTGCACACTCGCCAGCATACCGCCGCCTCCTCAGCAGCACTTTTTAATGTGACAAAGCACCGGAGCAGCCTTCTGCCGGTACCGCTATGTCGCTCGCCAGCGTCAGAGCAGTTCTGAGAGCTTTGCTAGGTCAGTTCAGTTGATCTCGTAACAACTCTGTGATGTAGGCACTATTATTCTCCTAATTTTACAAATAAGAAAACAGGCGTAGGGACCAGCAGTTAGCGTAATGGCTATGTCGCTGGACTCCCACATAGTCGACCGCGGTTCGAGTCCCAGACCCGGTGGCTTAAACTCACACCGGGCGCGTGTGCGTGCGTGCCCAAGATCCCGAGAGAAGAATGGAGGAGAAGGGATTGTGGCGTGGCCACCCCCCCCGGGGGGGTGATTTCCTGCTTTCTGTCTCTCTGTCTCTCTCTGTCTGTCTGGCGAGCGCATGCGCCCTATAGCAAAAACCTCTCAAAAAAAAAAAAAAAAAAAAAAAAAAACAGGCGTCGAGGCGTTAGGTAACTCACACAAGGTCACACAGCGTGCAAGAGGCAGAGTCGGGACTGGACGCCAGACATTCTGGATGCAGGGCCTCGGCTCTGAACTCTACTGCCTTTGTACATGCAGTGAACTCGCGTGCTCCTGGGGGCCTCTTATCTCCAGATCTGCTGTATTTAGCCTCTACTCTCACACGCTTGTCAGACCACAGAGAAAGGCATAGCCTCTTGGAAGCCTGACAAGGGAGAGGATAGCATTGTTCCTTGCAAGGGCTGTCCTGTGAAGCCGAATACCCCAGAACTCTAAGGACTCCACCAATGCCGAGGAGTACCCAGTATCTCTCCTCTACGCACATGCATGCATGCACTCACATGTGTACACATGCACACTATCTAGGAGGTACTAGAAAAAAATTCCCTGGACCCTGGGCTTAAAGAGGACCTGGGCTTCCCTAGGAGCCCTGGTCACCTGCAGAAATTTAGTCTTGAGCAGCGTCTGGTGCCCTGGCAGCACCGAGGAGGCTGCGCTGGCCACTTGACGCTGACGATGCTGTCTTTTCCTTTCTGTTCCTTCTGCACCCTTCTCTAGACCTTGAAGGTGAAGGGAGTGGATCGTACTCCCTACCTGGGGGATGTCGCTGTGGTTGTGAATCCTGGGAAAAAAGAGATGGGAACTCCACTTGCAGACACTCCTACCCGGCCTGTCACCCGACACGGGGGCATGCGGGACCTTCACGAATCCAGCTTCAGCCTGTCTGGTAAGAGCAAGGGTGTGGTGGGAAGAGGGCAGGGGGCAGGAAGAGAGTCCCTCTCACCCCCACCCCCACCAGGAAGGGGGACTTGTGCCTGCTTTTCCCTTAGGTCTCCTCCCACTCCCTCCCAGGTCTGTGGTTAGGGACGCACACATACTGCGGGGACATGTGGACTCTCGGTCCCGTGGCCCACCTGGGTCTTTCCCCGCGGTTTCTAAGTGCCAATAGTTTTGTCCCTTGAACTGTCCTGAGAGCCCTGCACACAGCAGTTCCCAGAGATGATGTGAGCTCTGCAGGGTCAGCCCTTCCCGTGTCCCTGGGACTGCTCCCCACGGCCTCTTCCCACCCCCAGTCGACCTCTCTAAAGGGCCTGTCCTGTTTCCATCACTCCCCTCCCCGCCAGCCTGCCACACATAGTCCCTTACTCTGCCTCTGACTTCTTTATAACTAGGAGTTGTATGAGATACTTTCATTTATTTAAGTAAAATGCTTTTCTCTCTCGACTTCTGATTTTGCGTTTATTTATCTTTCTGTCCTTAGGGTCATGTCCTGTCCCCAATTAGTCGGAGGCTGCCCTGGCTTCCCGGCAACATCCTGTACACGTTCTTTTTTCATTTATTTTTAAGCGTATTTTTGTTTCCACAAATGAGAGACAGACAGACAGAGAGAGACAGATGATACTCCCAGCAGGGTCTTGATGCCACAAGCCACCCCCGGCTCGGTCTGCCCTGGATCCTGGCCCAGCATATTCAGGGAGGTCTCTAGATGTGAGCCTGGAACCTTCCCGCGTGGCTCGCCCTCACAGAGTGTCACATTTGACCGCTGTGCCACCAACTGGCCCCCTGTCCTAAGATCTGTGGTTTTTAGTGTCCATTACAATTTTTAATACTTTTATGTAGGGAATTTGGGGGGAATGGAGAGGGAAGACACTTGTGGGACACAGATAAGGCTTATCATCTGTTGACGAGGATACGTATAATAGTCTCAACCGGGCTGGACTGAGGCGTATATCATGCTGGGTAAAGGCTCTTCACAATCTAAATGATATATAGCGATTTAAGGTAGGAATAATTATTAAAAAAAAGAAAAAGAAAATCTGCGGTTTCCCGCCCCTCCCAGGGCTCCTCTAGGTGTGGCTCTCTGTATCAGGGGCCTCATTGTTGACAATGATAGACACCTCGGGTGTTCTGCAGTGTTTGAGCCAGGGGAGGCAGGGGAGGATGCGTGTCTTCACCACATCCCTCTGTGGGGAGCAAGCAGGCATAAGTGCCCTGCTCCTTCAGCAGCTTTGGTGAAACTGTCACCTCTGGTCTCCCTGAGCCTAGCCAAGCTGCCTTCAGGACTAGCCCAGAGGGAGGCCAAGCGTCCTCCCTGCCAGGGGTGTGCCGAGGCTAGAACAGAGGGCCTAGACCCAGGTCCTTCAAAGCAACAAAGATGAACCTTCTCTTAGACAGCTGAGCTTGGGGTTAAATGAGGGAATCCAGGTGAAGAGCATGGGGTTCACCGGCTCAAACGAGACCATACACAGACCACCCCAACCCAGGAGGCAGAGGGCAAACCCGGGTGGTGCTGAGGGAGCAGCTTGCCTGCCAGGGCCCAGGGCTTCTGTAGGGGGTGCCAGTCGCCTGTGGGAGGGGGCGTCCCTCCACCTCTCTCAGTCCTCATGGAGCCCATTTCATCGTGAGACAAGTGCTGGCCTCCCCCAGCGAGAGGCCATTGCCACTCCCACCAGTGATGGGACTCGAAGCTGGGAGCCTGGCCAGACCAGGAGGCGGGGATTCCCTCGGCCACCAGCTGGCTCCATGAGAGACGGTGAGACCCCAGAGCTGTGGGTTCACTGGCCAGTGTCCTTTCTGCTTCCACCAGCGAAGCCAAGGCAGAAAGTCCTCTGGACACAGCAGACATCGGGCAACCTGTCACCTCCCCTCCACCCCAGACCTTGCCTATTCCAGGTGGGGCAGGTGGATGAATATCTCGCTGCTCCACGGAGTGCTAGGCCCACTCTTTCTAACCAAGTCTTAGTATTTCAAGATGTGAGACCTTTGGGGTGTGGTTCTTCCCCTTTCCAGAACAATGGGGCACCCCCTACCCCCCTCCGTACACACAGAGGCGTATGTATAAGGCTCGGGAAGTCAGTTAATAATGGAGGCTCGGAACCCAGAAGAACTGTGCTCAGATGCAGGCTCTGCCCTCATACACTGTAATGTGGGGCAAGATCCTCGCCTTCCCCAAGCCTCAGTTTCCCCATCTGTGAAGCCAGATGGAGTCATATTGAGGATTAAAGAGGGAATGTGTATGGAGGGCTAGTTCTCATCGGCCCCTGCACGTTACAGGCCTCCCTTGGACAATGGCTGTGGTTTGTCACCTAGGCAAGAACCAGCAGCTCACCCTCTGCTTCTTCCCTGCAGGGTCTCAGATCGACGACCACGTTCCAAAGCGAGCTTCAGCTCGGATCCTCGCTCCTCCCGGCGGCAGGTCAAGCGGCATTTGGTAAAGGCACTGACCAGCTCCCTCCGAGTGAGGATGCACCGCTGCCTCCAGCCCACACACCCTCCGGCCGCAGCTGCAGGGGGCGGGAGAGGCTGGGCTGGGCAGCACACCACCAAGGGGGGACCCAGGACCCGGGAGCCCTCCCCTGTCGGAAACGTGATTCACTGTGCTTCGAGCCAACCCTAACAGGCACTTTGAGACGTGTTCTCCTGCTCTCGTCCTTTCCTGCCTTGGCCTCGGCGGGCTTTTCTGGGGCCCAGGAAGCCCACACTATGCACAGAGCCCGATGCATAGAGCCTGGCCCAGCCCCTCCCTCACCTGCCTCCACGGGCTGGCTCTGCAGAAGCCCTGGCTTCAGTGCCCTGCCCTGGCTGACCGGCCAGTTCTCCAGCGCACTTTAGCAGATGCGATTTAAGAGTACAGGCCTCCCTTCCCCACTCTCCTCGGCCCCATGGTGACATTTCCCGAGTCAGACAGGTGTCAGCTTCCCGCCATGCCCAGGATGTCCCTGTGAGGGTGTGGTTGGGACACCTGGGTGTGGGAGTGGTCAGGACATTCTGTGCCCTTTGCCAGCTTCTTTCTGCTCCCCAGCCACCCCCCTCCCCAGCGGTCATGGGCCCAGGAGGGTAGCCGGGTGGGCACAAGACTGGTGCCAGGCGCGTGTAAATGGTTTTGTTTTGCACGTTTGGTTTGCGCAGTGGTTTGGTTTGACTTGTTTGTGCATCCTGTGAAAGTGACGGTGCTTCGTGTCCCTAGCATAGCATAGAAACCGGATAGACATGGTCCTTAGGAGATGCTGCACTCGAACCAACCAGACGGCACAGGGCAGAGACGGGAGGGGCGGGCTGTGGTCCTCCTGGCCCATGCCCTCCTCTCCCCTCCCCTCCTAGTCCAAGTTCCTCCATTCTGAGTGGTTGCCTGGGACGCCAGCCCTGGAGACTTTCAGGCAGCAGGTGGCCTTTCCCATCTCTGCCTCTGGTCACTTCCAGCACTGAGCCCCACCCCCAAGCCCCTGTGCGTGCATGCACACACGCACACAGCTTCCTGTAGCTGCCCTGCTGACAGAAGCCCAGCCGCTCCTCCTGTGTGATTGGCAAGAGGCCTCATGCCTGCTGAGAGAGGGGGAGTGGACAGGGGCTGCAGGATGCCAGGGAGGGAGACTACAGGCCCGCAAGACCTGGCCAGAGAACCCACACTGCTGCAAGGGTGCCCTGGACTCCCGCAGTCAGCACCAAGCCCTCACCGGCTTGTGGCCTTGTCTCCTCTCACGTCCAGCTGACCCTCCCTGCCTCGGAAGCTCCACAGAGGTTCCCATGGAAACACTGGAGCCTGGGTGAGCTCCGCCCACTCCTTGTGGTCTGGGGAGTGACCCAGCTGTCTGCTCTTGTTAAGCCTCGCCTCTCCCTTGGGGAAGCAATTTCACACTGCATATTTGGTGTGAGCACCCCAGGCGTGCACGGGGTCCCTGCCCTGCACATTCCCACAGGGCTTTTCCTACTTTCGAAGTACTTTCAGAAATGAGCTCTCATTTGCTCGTCCCGGCAGTGGGGCGTGTTATTCTCCCCACTTTACAGAGGCTGAGGCCTGCAAGTGTAAGCCCTCCGACTCCAGATATGTCCATAACCACCCTTACAGCTTGGCTGTCGACCCGAGCTGGAGAGAGGGGGCAGGGGTGGCAGCTCTTGGAGAGGCCACCTGAGTTTAACCAACTAGACGCCGTACCCCGCTGCTAGGCACCGTGCTCTGCTGTGCCCGGGTGGATTTTTCTCCTCTCCACAGTCAGCATAGTGCCTGTTCACTGTGTGCGCTGGGACGGGTCAAGCACCAGGAATTACGCCACATCCACATCCGCCTCCTCACCTCACTCCCTGCCTTCCCATTGTGCTCCCTCTGGGCTGAGAAGACAGAGTTGAAAGCCTAGGAAGCAAAGGCAGCAAAGGGACTCATGGAGAGTGGCAGCCATGGGGACAGTAGCTGGGACCCGGGCCTGGGAAAGCCACCCTGGATCATGGAAACCATGACACTGACCCCTGGTTCAATGCACATCATCTTATCCCTTTCAGCCCTTGCTGGGCCATGGGCCTTAGGCAGATGCCAAAGAGCCAAGCAGTGGTGGGAGCCAGCGGCAGAGCATCCCTGCTTGCGCTAGGAAAGCTTTACCTTCTCTGAGTGCCTCCGCCCGAGGGATGCACGGCCACAGCCCCGACACAGGGCTGCCCATGCCAGTGGGAGGACAGATCTTGGCGTGGCCCACTGGAGCCTTCCACTTCACCCCCAATCCTCACATAGACCCCACCCTTACCCAGGAGCTCTAGACGGAAATCGAAGGAGGTTCAAGGAGCCCAAGGAATGCTCAGCCCCCCACCACCCACGGCTTGCCCCGTGCAGCGCTCCAGCCAGCTCCACCACGGCCCCCAGCTCCTGGCTGGAAAGCAAAGGGTCTCTGGTTGCACTGAACGCAGCTCTCACACTGGTCTTGTACTTACTGAATAAATTCTGTTGTTCTTGCCTTAGCTGCTCTCTAGGTTTGTGGGGTTAAGTTTCCAGAAAATTGTGCTACTGTGTGTGCGTGCGTGTGCGTGTGTGTAGTGCTAGGAATTCACAGTAGGTCTCTGTCGAGCCGATGCTGTGATGAGGGCTTTTCCAACACCGACCCAGAAACCACAGAACCACGGGGAAACTCAAACCCGCTCCGGCTGCGGAGGCGGCAGGCACAGCCTGGGGTCAGGATGGAGCCTCCAGCGCCCCAGCACCCAAGTGACTTCCTCACGCCTCTGTACATGTCATGGTGCTAAGATTGTGTCAACCCCAAGATGACACATGGTCCTGTGCTTTGGCCACCCATTTGAGGCAAAAACAGAACAGCCCAACACATTGTGTTCTGGTGCAGGTTTGTATTAAACTGTAGCTACTTCTCACCTGGTCTCCGTTGTGTTTCTTCGAGGAGAGGCAGTAGCTGGTGTGAGGCCTTGGTTGCTAAGAATACTTGGCTTGGACCCATCATTCCCATTATGTGGCAGCTCATTGGAAGCCTTGGCTGAGTCTGAAGAGTAAAAGAAAGTTGGGGGAGGGACCAGCAGATGGCATAGCGGTTATGTCACTGTACTCTCACATAGCCGGTTGTGGTTCAAGTCCCAGACCCGGTGGCTTCAAAATCACAGTGGGGCGGCCAGCAGGTGGTATGGTGGCTAGAATGCTAGACTCCCACATGGCCGACTGCAGTTTGAGTCCCAGATCTGATGGGTTGCTTGCTCTCTCTCTCCCTCTTTGGTGAGCTCATGTGCCCTGTATGAAATTAAATAATAATAAATAAATACAATTAAATAAATAATTCTATTAAAAGACCATGCTGGGTGTGTGTGCATGTGTGCCCAAGATCCCAGGAGAATAGAGGAGAAGGGATTGTAGAGTGGTCAACCCCCCAGGAAGTGATTTCTCACTTTCTCTCTCATTGTCTCTCTCTGACCGGTGAGCACACACATCCTAAGGCAAAAACCTCTTTAAAAAACAGAAAGAAAATCGGGGAAACAAGGGAGTAACTCTCCTGAGAATCTAGAATTCCTGATGAGAACAAAGCCAAAGGTTTTAATCAACCAGGACAAGGTCACTGTGTTATCTAAAACAGGAATAATTAGAGGGAAGAATCAGATACAAAAGGGGAAAAAATCTACACTCCCTCCCTCTGTTTTCTGCTCTCTTGGCTACCATTCTGGAAGCCGGTAGCCCTCCCTCCATTCAGCAGAATGCATGGCTGATAGAATAACACCTTAGGGACCAGCAGCTGGCATAATGACTGTCGCTGGACTCCCACATAGTCGACCACGGTTTGCGTCCCGGACCTGGTGGCTTAAACTCATGCCGGACGGTGTGCATGCATGCCCAAGATCCCGAGAGGAGAAGGGATTGCAGCATGTCCATCCCCACTGGGGGTGATTTCTCGCTTTCTATCTCTCTGTCTCTCTGGCAAGCACACGTGCCCTATAGCAAAAACCTCTTCCAAAAAAATAAAAAAGAACGATAGCATCCTAAAATCATCTCACATAGGGCTGCCCAAACCAGTGTGGTTTTGAAGGGCCTCTGGCTGCTCCCTGGCTTTCCAGAGCTCCACCTTCGGGGTTGGCCCTCTGTACCCTCAAATTTTGCAGTCAAGACTCCTCCACCTTCTTTCTAGACCTCAGCCAGAAGGCAGAAAGGATTACCTGATTAACCTTTCACACTGAGGAGTGCGTGAAATGGCTGCTTCTACTACTATGGGGTCACTTATTTCTTATCCTCAAAGACAAAACCTGAAGCTATTTGGTGAAAATCGGCACACCAGGTTTGGGAACACACCCCCATTTGCTTAACGACCACAAATCCACTGTGAGTGTTTTGATGAATAAATAGCATGGCCACACATTTGACAGGTCGTGCGCCTGGTGTCAGGCCACCTGCAGAGAAAAGTGAGAAGACACTCAGGAGCATGCTAGATGCTTTATATGAATAAATAAATAAATAAATAGATAACAGATTCAGACTCTATAGTAAGAGACGGTCATTTATGAAAATCTGCATTTGAAGAAACCTGAACCAGTCAGCAAGTAACGAATCAGCCTCGATTTCTCCACTCAGAATTCCAGTTTGACCTTTAGACACAGACCCAAGCTGACACAGAACTGCCTGAGAGTCAATTACCTTGAGGTCTCATGACACACGATAACGCAGGGGAAGGAAACCTTAACAGTTTTAAGACAATAAAAGGATATTTGACAACATTGCCATAACATGCACTTTATTTTGAGTTTAAGATTATAGTTTAACAATTGATTTTAAAACATCTTAGTTTCGGGGGCCAGCAGTTGATGTAATAGCTATGTCACTGGACTTCCGTGATTTCTCACTTTCTGTCTGTCTCTCTCTGGCTTTCTGGTGAGCACGTGTGCCCTATAGCAAAATCCTCTCCAAAAAAAAATCTTAATTTTTATAGTTTTATAGTTTTTAGCTTTGCATAAATACACTCATACTATGCTGTTTTGTGGGTTAAGATCACCAGGATGCACTGACTTTTTTTTTGAATTGCAAAATTTTCACATTTATTAAAAACCAACCGACATCCTTGAGTCCCGACATTTCTGAATGCCATTTTTCACTCGGCAGATTGACGACATGGTTACGTGAGTCACAGCCCTCCAAGCCCCTTTGAAGAGAAACAGAATCATTACCTGTAAATCCAAGATTGCCAACACTGGAACTGGAGTTTATTTAAATTTCTACCCAGTGCCTCTTTTTTTTTTCTTTGCCATGGGACATGTGTACTTGCCAGAGAGAGACACAGAGACAGAGGGAGGGAGAGTGAGAAGTCACCCCCAGGGAGAATGGCCATGTTGCAATCCCTTCTTCTGGCATGATTTTCAAGTCGCTGGGTCCTTGACTTGAACCATGGTTGGCCATGTGGAAATCCAGTGCCTTAATCACCATGCCACCTGCTGGGCCTCCCACCCAGTGCCTCTTGCCTTATTGGGATTCTTGATCTTAAACTATCCTAAAGTTTTGCTCTCTGAGTTCGCCCTGAAGCGAATTACTCCTTTATATATACATATATGATTTATGTTTATTGAGCAAGAGAAAGGCATCCTTGGCAGGGTACTTGCCATACCACAATCCACACCTAGCCCTCCAGCCACCAGGATCACAAGCACTCCCATTGTATTCAGATCAACCTGGATCCAGTCTCCCCATGTGGCTACAGTATCACTCAGCGGCACTCTACCTGAGCCACTGCCACCAGGGTGAACGTTATTCTCGGTCATCAATTCCCAGTGACACCAAATTTCAAGATATTGGAAGAGGAATTAATTTTTGCAAAATAGACCTCCAGGAATAATCTTTAATCCTTTTACTGCTGAGGGAGCAAAAGCCACTAGAAACCAATTTCTCCAAGGGAGGACTGTGGCTGTTTTGAGCCCCAAAAGAAAGCAGGCTTCCGTGCTGTGTTTCAAGGCCTACCATAATCTTGCAGTTGTCTGACAGAGAGTTCCTGCTGCTCACGGAACGGACGAGTCTCCATCCAGAGGTCCATGCGTGCCTGCGATCTGGGGCTGGCAGAGGCTGGGGGTGGGTCATGGCATCAAGGCCCTTTTGAGGGTGCTGTTTCTGTCTCTCTCATTCATGGAAGACATAAATGAACTCTTTAAAAAGCCATGATCCCAAGCTAACTCCATGGCCTGATGATTAAGGCAACTGGATCCCATAAGGCCGACTGTGGTTTGAGGCCCAGACCCAGCAGTTAGAAACATGCCAGGCACGTGTGTGTGCATGCCCAGGGTCCCCAAAGGAAGCTGAGATGGAGGATGCCGAATGACCGTGTGACCATTCCCCATGAACAGGGTGCTTTCTCTTCTCCCTCCCTCTCTGTGTCTCTCTGTTTTACTCTAGCAAGCGGGTATAGCACCCCAAACACACACACACACAGATTACCTTTACACAGAAGAAGAGAAAGTCATCCAGTCAAGGTGGCAGAGCGAGGGGGCTGGCAGGTGGCGCGGTGGTTAAGGGTGCTGGACTTCCACATGGCTGACTATGGTTCAAGTCCTGGACTTGAAGGAAAGAAAGAAAGAAAGAAAGAAAGAAAGAAAGTTTTAAAACATTTATTAAAAAAAAATGGCAGAGAGTATCCAAGTGAATATCCTATGCCCCAGATTTGCACACACAGCAGATAGCATGTTTGTGAAATATTCAAAAGATGAAATCCTCTAAAAACAACATAGTCATAAGGAGAACAAATGCCACAAGGGCCACCAGGTTTTCTGGGAGTGGGAGTGGCAGCTTTGGGGTGAGCTGTCCTGGACACCGTCCACGATACCCGCTTCCCAGCCTCTCCATCCTGCCGACTCTGCACTTGCTGGGGCTCCCCTTAGGTGTCACCCATTGTTTCTGTTTTTCGGATTACAAACCGCATCCCTCATGTTAATCTGCTATGATCAGCCCCAGGATCTACAGAGATGAGCTTCCACAGCTCCGAGGGGGTTCTCTGGAAACACGCCAGGCCAAGAAAGGGTGTGAATGAGGAGGGATGGGAAGGGACTGCCTTCCGCACCTGCACCGCTTGCATCCCTGACTGAGGAAAAGGAAATGCTGAGGTAGCCTTCCCTTCCACGCTTGGGCCTGGGAAGATAAAATAGAGGAACGATAATCCCACCAACGGCAGGGCCCTCCCCATCCAGATGGAAAAGGAAGTAACGCTTATTAAACACCTACTACATGTAAAGAACTTTGCTGAATACTTTCTGGGTTCTTTGTTTTTTAATTTTAAAAGAATGATTCCTGGTTTACAAATAATCCTGGTACATTTCTGTGGGTACACTGGCTTTTTCAAAGCATGCACATAGTGGGTAATCATGAAATCAAGGATCGAGACGTGTTCGTCTTCAACATCCAACATCACATAATGTGCATGTGTTCACTACTTTGTGGGTTCTCATTTTAAGATGGGAGCAGAGCTGGGACCAGCAGTTAGCGTAATGGCTATGTCACTGGACTCCCACGTAGTCGACCACGGTTCGCATCCCGGACCCAGTGGTTTAAAACTCACGCTGGGCGTGTGTGCGTGCGTGCCCAAGATCCCCAGAGGAGAAGGGAGGAGAAGGGATTGCGGCGTGGCCATCCCCCCTGGGGGGTGATTTCTCGCTTTCTGTCTCTATGTCTCTCTCTGGCAAGCACACACGCCCTATAGCGAAAACCTCTCCCCCCCCAAAAAAAAGATGGGAGCGGAGCTAAAATTCACCTCCATCTATTTCCACATAAGATTAAAGATTTCATTCTCCTCTGGATGGAAGGTAATGATGTCTGATGGATCTCTGCAGAGAGGGTATTATATTTTTTTAAGGATTTTTGCCATAGGGTGCATGCACTCACTAGAAAGAGAGACAGAGGGAAAGTGAGAAATCACCCTCCAGGAGGGGATGGCCACGCTGCAATCCCTGCTCCTCCATTCTACTCCTGGGATTCATACACACCCGGTGTGATTTTCAAGCCACGAAGTCCAGGACTCGAACCATAGTCGGCCATGTGGGAATATAACACCTTAGCCACCATGCCACCCGCT